AAGCCAAGACTAAGGTCCATGTTGGATATGTTGTGTATCAGACCCGATTCAACAAGACGGCGTCTATGAAGAGTAATGACAGGAAAGAATACTTTAGAAGAATACCAATCAATAGGATGATTAAAATCCCTAACATAACAGAAGAGAGTATTGTCTGTGTCTGCAGACTTAACACTTTTGTGTTTATTAAGTCTGTCATTTAGTGTACGGCCAATTTTCCCCAAGTATTGGATAGGACAAGACGAAAAGGATAAAAAGAGTAAACACTAGCAGATAAAATGTCATCCACACTTTTGTTGAAATATACATTCCATTCACCCATAAGACTACTCAATAGCACGGTCGATATAGCTTCGTCCTCACACACGTGGGGTTCACGGTTCGAGTCTCCTAGCGTCCAGGTGACTGGAAAGACACCAGCTGCAGGAGGAGCAGTGTGAACCAGATTACTTCGAAGAGTCCTAGTTTGTCGAAAGGCAAGCTTTATGCCAAGAGAACGAAGGGTGTGAGTGAGATTTATTAGTTCAGATATTAAGGGAAGGCAGAATACAGTGGTACTAGTGTTGGAAACAGGTTTGGGATAAAACAAATTTGGTTTAGATTGAGAATAGGCACAGTTGATAAAATGTAAGTGGTAACCAAGGCGAGAGAAAGATAGGCAAATAAAAGACATTTTAGAAACAAGAAATTGAGGGTCATTGATGCGCAGAGTGTAAAGCAAGAGAGACAAGAACACTTTCTTAACGATCAATAAAGTCTCAGTTTTAGGAGAGACTTCTTTAAAACAAGAGGCTTGTCAGGCACCAGTCTCTTTTTAAGTTTATGTTTATAAAATTCACTGCTTGCAGATTGGTGATTGTGTGGATGCCTTGGAGTTTGTCCCTGTGGTGTTTAGGAACTCCGAATTGGAGGAGTTGATGTATTCCTCACACTCTAAGTTTGCCCCTTCCTTCTCCTTTCCTGTTTCTACTTGCTGTGGTTTTGTAAACCCCCTTCCGGGCCCCCTCCACCTTAGCTCTGGGAACCGAAGCATCTGAGGGTTTCAGAGTCTGGGCAGGGTTTAACTGTCAACGTTGACAGAGAAGACAGTTAAGCTGTCCCTTCCCACCAAGAATTTAGGGACTTCTAATTCACAAGGATTTATAGTCTGGAATAATGCCTTTCTTTCCATTCAGGTACCAGGTATGAAACAAGGGACAGCTTCCCCGAGTCTTCATTAGTAACTATCGAGGCTGGGGTATCCCAAGGATGGTCTCTGAGTTCCCTTCAACCCTTTCTCTGTTCCCAGAGACCTTTTCGCTCCAAGCAGAGGACTTAACGAATTTTCTGTCCATGCTTGAGCCTGATTCTTTGGTTGCCCCTCCAGGATCATTTCCATGTACTGTTAAGAGGTCATGGATGCATCTTATTTCCAAAGGTTTCCGTCATCCTTCCTTTGTCTTCTTTAACCCGGGTTGACATTTTCTGGTTACTCCTGCATATACCTCGATGGACCCTGCCTCATGAGTTTGGGTGGACCTTAGCTTTCTGGTTGTGGTACAAGATCCCTGGTTCTCCCGGACTTGCAGACAACCCTCTGTTTTCCTTGGGGGCTCGGCATAGCTTTGCCATACCCTATGCTTGAGTTGCTGAAAGCATTTTCTGTATTTCAGGTTTTCTTTGGCTGTGATTGTTTTCTACTTGTGGAGAATTTATTGTCTTCTCGTGTTCTGCCTAAGGACGTGAGTATTTGGAAACTTCATGTGCAGCTGCCTTTACATTCCGGAGCCCAGACCGCCTAGGATCACAGGGCCTGTATTCACTTGGCCGCTGTTTTGCGATTCCGGAATAGGTGAGATGTTCTCTTACCAGCTCCGAGGGGACCTGTAATTTTTTGGCTTTATTGACGCCTGTTATAGTTCTGTTACCATTGGTTTAGGTTTCGGAAACCTTGCCAATTTTTTTCTCTCCTAATTTTAGGAGGTATTAGCCTCCATCTGAGTCCATTTTCTTAGCCCATTTTCTGAGTCCATCTCACATAATGGCAGGCAGTGCTTCCCCAACACTAGGCTTTAGATTCGGCTAGATCACTAAACTTTTTCCCTGCCTCCATCTTTTTATTTTTCCTATGTTTTGAAGAAGCTATCTATTCGATGATTTTAGCCGCAACTACCAGCTCAAAGGGTTATTTCCGGCCCTCAGCTGGGTTCTATACCAGAGAGGTTCTGTCCCTGCTGCTCACAGGTGATTCTTCAATGTTAGGGCCTTACCTGTGGTTAGTCAGGATAAGCATCCACAGGGTACTGATTCTCACGTCTTAGATTCTCGAGTCAAATGTGGAGAGTATGTGACCCGTTCTATACCTTGAAAGCCCATGAGCAACAGTTCCTTGTTGCTCATGGGCTTTCCTATTCTTATCTCAGGATCTGCAGTTGGGTTGGTCTACTTCCTGTAATTTTCTTGAGTCAGGAGTTTTTCCCTCAGATTTAGTCGGTCATGGCAACTTGGTTGGACTCTGATGTGGTGGAGATTAAGCTCCTAACAAATCAGTGTCACTGCAAACCAGAGATCTGTTTCTTTCCCAGCTTGTTGGGTTCAAGGTTCTTGGATTTGGAGGAAATCTCAGTTGGTCCCATCCTAGGATTATCCTAGTTAGGGATTCCTGGTCGGCTTCCATCTCTCTTCTACCTGTGACTCTGCTTCACCTAGAGCCTCATCCCCATTTGGTATTAGAATGGTCCCAGATTACTCAAAGGTTGATTGAGCAATTGTCCAGGAGCCTAAACTTTGTCTATGGTATTTCACTTAGGCATGTTTTGGCTACAGGTTCTTTTCTAATTCTTCTGGTTCTAGCCATTTCGTACCCACCAGGACTGCCGAGTTTTGCTTTTTGCCTTTTGTTTGTTTGCAATTTACTGGATTTTAGTTCACTGGTCCTCTTTTGAGTTTTTCGGGGTTCGTTTCATTGATGCCTCTTTTCCTCGTGACTCGATGAGTTTACAGAGGTCTCTGCCCAGGGCTGGGTTTTTGTCACCAGCGCTCACCAGACTTTTCAAAATCGCTGGGCGTGTCCTCTCCTTCGAGCGCAATGATCAGTTAACAAGTTTGCAGTGCTGTAACAGGCATCTTCCTCCCGGCTCCATTCCCCGGATTAATTCTAACTACTTTCCAGTAGCTCATTTTTTTGACTGACAGGGATTTTCTTTGGTTCTATCTTAATTGGAACTGGACTCTGCATGTAGCTCGGATTCTAGATTTTTGGAGATTGGTCAATGGCACACCACCTGCATGTTTCATCCCAGCGAAAGGACGAAATTTTTGGCTCTCTTTTCGTCCCACTTCATTGGTTCTCGTACGTTTCAGTTCAGGTGGTTTTGTCTTTTTGTCTTCACTCATGATGTTCGGTCTTGGCGGAGCTGCTTTTATTGGCCTTAAGCATCATTACTTCCTCGGAACCATTGTGCAAGTTGTGTTGTTCAAGTTTTCACCTCTGCCCTGCTCATTATTCTTATCACCCGTCTTCATCGCTAGATCAGGGGTTGAACTTTCTTTCAATCCTTAGGTTCTCGGTTATCCCATCAGTTTGTGATACCCTTTTCAAGGCTCATTTTTTACTGGCCCTCGCTTCTGCCCGTCGGAGTTGAGAGTTTTATGCAGTTCTCTGGAAGTGGAGGTTCTGTTCTTTTGCCCCTGGTGGATGGCTTCTTCGTTTACAACCTTTCGTATTTTCTAGTGTAGAATGTGATGGTTAACATTCAGATGGGTTCTTCGGTTATTGGTTCGTTGTTTGCTTGGTCGGGGTGCATTATTTGCTGTGTCTGGTGGCTGCTCTTCGTTTCTATCTGAATGTCACCGAGATATTGTTTCCTAGCTTCCCTGTTCCAAGGCTCGTTTAACTCCGGTTGTCCACAATGTCACTATATCTAGCCAGTTTGTGGTCTACCCTTAGACCCATGATGTTCGAAAACTTGCAGATCTGACTGCATTATTTTCTCTTATGTCTTGGACTGATATCTGGACTCGGGGGTTTTGAGGATCTAAGAAGGACCTGGCAGCTCGTCACCTGGTCAGTGTTCCTCATCGGGTTTGAGTTGTTCTTCTTCACGAGTCTAATTTTTTGTTCTCCTCCATTCTTGTAAGTCTCGATTTTCATATTCAATGGGGAGTTAGTTACTGGGAGCCACCGTTCCCTCCCTCCAGAAAACCGGCATTGAATGTGGTGAAAAAATCAATAGGTTCTGTCAGGTGGATTCGAACCTGTACACTGGGTACTCCTAAGCACACACCTTAAACCACTTAACCATAACATGCTCATAAGCAATGAAAGCTGGGATTCAACTATATTCTCTAGGAGTCCTGAGGCTTCCACTGAAGCCAAATAAGAGTTTCACACAATGCCCACATGCACTCTGGCTGTGGTATAGGAGTTCTACCCCAATACTTCTCTTCATAAGTAAAAAAATCACATTAGCGGGATTTCTTTGAGAACTGAAACGCCTCTTGCAGGTTAGTCCTCGGTGACTTTCTGGCCTTTCTCCACTTTTTCCAGATGTACCAGTTTGTAGTTTTAGGCCCTAGATTAAATAGCATTGACATAGGAGCCGTTAGCTCTCGGGATGTTGCCACCTGGAAGTGAAAAACTATATCTAGGGGGTTTCAACAAGCCATTGGTAGTTTGTAAGTAGTCATTTGCTGCTTTATTTCTCTTTTCTCCGTGAACCTTACAGTTGTCGGTTTTCCTTCACATACTTTCTGAATGTTTCTATTGGTAAGAGTGATGGTGAAAAATCCCCAGTATCCTCCGCCTGTTTCGGGAGGGTCAAATTTTGGCTCGGGTCTCCCGTTGGTTATTGAGAACTCCTGATTGTGATGTGACTCATATGTGTGAAGCGATCTCTGTGCCGCAAGCGACATGGAGCCCCTTAAACCCACTCAAAATGAAGTGTTTCCATTACATTTGATGTTGATATTTTCTGTAGGGAATATTTAAAGTTGTAACCCTAAAAATCTTTAAATTGCAGGATTAACTGCCTTAATGTATGGTGCTGATGGGGCATGCGAGAGTGCGGTACCACTCCTCATGGAGGCTGGAGCGAATATAAACCTCGCAGATATTCACGGTAAACTAGCATTATATCTACTGTATGTAAATAGTAAATAAATATAGCAAACATCTTGTACTGGAGAAAGGGTTAAATCCTCTTCGGTTTACTACCAAATAAATCTCATAACATTGTTTCATGCTTTTAAATGAAAACAACCATTTTCCTGCTTAGATAATATTTGTTGTAACTATGTGGATCATTATACATACATAGACGTAATGAACAATTAGACAGCATAATTTGTTACTATTCACTTTATAGTATGGAAAAAACTGACAACAAAACTTAAATATTCCTTAGCCTAGTATAGAAGATATATTTACTATATTAGGCGTCAGATAGTGTGTATTATGCCTAGAAGGGTTAGGTTAGGTTTTCTTTTCAACATAAAAATTCAATAGTACCGATTTTTACTTTCTAATTGCCTTTACGTCAATATATGTACGAAAGTCCTTATCATTACCGTAAGTACTACTTAAACAAGAGGATGGGCTGGGTTTTGTAAGTTAATATTAACATTCATTGACAGGTGTGTAAGACTTCACACAACATTCCAAAGTACACCTATATACCTTCAAACAACATTCACTGGTAGCCCTCTATGTCATCATATAACATTCACCTGTGGCCCTATATGCCTTGTTATAGGAGAAGAAAAACGGTACTTTGTTGAGAGAGATGCAAAAGACACTTTATCGCTGCTCTCTACAGCCGTCTACTTTTTTGGTTATGGGATTCAAAACTGAGAAAGTATCTTATTTTTTTGGTTCCCTACACTCCTCTATCCTTTCATTGAAGTCAGCACTTAACCACCATATGCATCACTCGAAACACGGACCTCAGTAACTCTCCTAATGATAATAACTAGACTAATATTCTTTTCCAGAGGCTGGGGATAGCATTGTCATGAAATATATATTTTCCAACAATATACGAAACAATATAGGAAACAGTAAATATTATTGACTATATACAAGGTGACTCAAAAAAAACTTATATAATATTACTTTGTTAATATTATTATTATTATGCATTCATTTCGAAAATTTAATGTAATAAGATGTATGTCCTTTGCTCAAACCTTAGTCTGACTGTCATTGTTAATTCTAATGAGTTAAATCTGAAAGGAAGGAAACATCTTCTGTGCTCTCAGCTGTAAAAAACTTATACATGTTTTGGGTACATCTCTTATATGCAATCGTCCTCTACATATTTTAGGGCTGACTGTAGTTATGCAAATGAAACAATATGGGTCTTCAGTACTCTCCGTCCTCTTGGCCTACTGCCCTGACCTCACACTCACAGACAAAATGGGTGAGTTTTCGTTTTGTTTATTCAATACTAGACTAGAAGGGGTTCCTGGCTGGGCCCAGCTTTTCTTATCCTTGTCACTTCCTCGCCCCCCCCCTTCTTCCCCTCTTTTTCCACCCTCTCCCATTCTTTCAGAAAATTTTTTATTATAAAGACCAGTAACTCCAGAACAACTTTATGGGAAATACAACAAATATTTCAGATGTTTTAATGACAATCACAAAGTGGGTCTCCATAAATCCCAATATTTCTTAAAGCATTTTACTAAAGGACGACACCGACTGGCCTGTGACACTCTCCTATCCACCATGGTTCACCTTGTAAAGTTGGCTGAGGTTAGCCCCAAGCGTCTCACGGCGAACCTCGGACAGCCATTCTATTATTTATCAATATATTTGTTTCTGTAAGTATTTTCAGACATTGGATGTTGGCGCCTAGGCAGTTGTAGTCAGAATATATATCTTACCAACAAATGGTGAGTAAAAAGCTGATAATCAGGACACATATTGAAATCTGATGTACGTGGTAACGTTGGGTAGGAGGACGGGGACTGAAAAACAGCCAGGTTTTGCTTCAGTCTATCAATTGCAAAATATTATAGATTGCGTTTCAAACCCACTATGAAAAAGTGTAATTTCTTTTGAAGTTCCTACCCATGTATTTATCTCATTTTGGTTTAAACTGATACAGAGACCCCACGTCTTATGTTACCCAATAATTGATTGATCATTGTTGCCACTGGAGGCGGCTAGTATGCGGTGGGCTATACGCACCCCGTACTCATCCTATGAGCGGTAGCGCGGAAAGATTTATAGAAAGCACAAAAGGTCTTTATCAGACCTCAAAGAAGTTTTGGGGCGTGTTTTCTGTTGGTCGGACCTTAAGAGTTGTAGCGTCGTCCGAAACCTGTTATCTGGACCGTAACCTGTTGACAGGTTGATGGTCGGGTGTCCTCGCAAGTTGTAAAACTGCTCGACACAAACTCTGAGATCTGCACCCCACAACGTTTTTACAAATTCATAACTCGATGCAATCTGAATATAATCCTGCAGAGACTGAGGTAACTACGAAAAAAAAGTGCTAAGACATTGCGATTAAGACTGCAGAAGAGATAATACAACACACTGGTAATATTTATTCTGCATCTTCCCTCTTGAAGAATAAATAATACCAATGTATGGCTTGGTAGGAGCACATCAGAACATTGTCCTAATATTCAGATGTGCTCGCTCGACGAGCTGCACTTTATTACTAGCCTACGCTGGGACTTACACAATAACAGACCTCCGTGTCCATGCTGAGCCCTACACAATGACACAGATCTATCTATGCTGGGCTATACACAATAACAGATATTCCTGCCATTACTGGGAATGTAATACACAATAACATACATCCCTCTTTCCTGTCTGTCCTGTGCTCCACACAATAATTGACATTCTTGTCTATCCTGTTCCCTACACAATGACATAAACCGGTTTGTGTTGGGCTTTACACAATGACACATACAGTGTATTATAGGTTCTATACTTGGACATGAACACTTGTGTAATTCATGCTGGGAGCTACACATTGATTCAAACCTGTCTAAGCTGGGCTCAACACAACTGTTATCGTTATAATAGTTATGGCTCACATTAAACAGAACTCCAGATTTAACTTCTTAAGGTCCCAAGGTCCTAAGGTCCTTAAGGTCCTAAGTGAAACACTAAAATTAAAAAGTTTTAATATAATTACCGAAATAATCAAACAAAAGATAACTTTAGGAATCGCCCATCTAACTCTTGGGTATGGAACAGGAAAACAAATTACTTTACTAGTATTTACCTCGATGCTCTAATAAAACTGACTGAGAAAACTCAAGGTAGGGTCATCTATTACTTTTTATTCAAAATACAGTTCAACAGGTGCTCAGCAAACACTTTAATATATAGACTTCATCATAGATAAGTCATTGTCGCAAGACGAAATCACTTTAAGAACATACAAACAAAATCTACTTAACTGGTGAGAGGAGATTTTCACCCATTTATTTCATACACGACCGTCTAAACATAAAGGTGACAGACAGCTCGCCTCCTCCACACAAGAGATAACATCAATACATAGTCAGCAACTCATCTGATTATCCACATCATACATAACTGGCCAAACTAGCATAAAAAACAGTAAAATTTTAACAAATCCAGGAATATATATTATATACTTGTAACTGGCCAATAAAAACATTAAAAAAAATATTCTTTAATAGCAACATTTAAGTTTGGCAAGACTGAGCGACAAGCCCATATGAAATGGCAAAATAATATACTTATTCAATTTCTGTACGCCTGCATCAGACTTAGATGTTTGTTGGAAAATAATTACATATCCCAGACCATTATTGAAAAATAATTGCAATGAATGCATAACAATGCAACATCACGTGACTGAAGAAGTGGTACAGCATCGATTATAATTCAGTATTTACAGTTCTTAGCTTTAATAGTAAACATTATAATACTCATTAATTTAGAACAAAATGATACCCATCCAACCTGCCTATGCAATGCGATTTTCTAGCGTTATGTGAGGATGTAATCATGAGGATATAACAATATCGGACATCCCTGTCCATACTGAGCATATCGGACTGCCCTGTCCCTACACAGTGGCATATACCTCTGTCCATACTGGGCTATACACAGTGGCATATATCTCTGTCCGTACTGGGCTATGCACAGTGACAGATATCCCTGTCCATACTGGGCTATACACAATGACAGACATCAATATCCATACTGTGTCCTACACAGTGACAGATATCTCTGTCCATACTGTGCTCTAAACAATGACAGATATTCCTGACCATACTGGTCCTTTAAACAATGGCAGACATCCTTGTCCATACTGGCACCAACCCAATGACAGACATCCCTGTCCATACTGGCCCCGACACAATGACAGACATCCCTGTCCTTTCTGGCCCCGGCACAATGACAGACATCCCTGTCCTTTCTGGCCCCGACACAATGACAGACATCCCTGTCCTTTCTGGCCCCGACACAATGACAGACATCCCTGTCCATACTGGCCCCTACACAATGACAGACATCCCTGTCTTTTCTGACCCCGACACAATGACAGACATCCCTGTCCATACTGGTCCCAACACAATGACAGACATCCCTGTCCATTCTGGCCCCTACACAATGACACACATCCCTGCCCAAGCTGGTACCTCCACAATGACAGACATCCCTGTGAATACTGGGCCCTACAAAATGACAGATATCCCTGTCCAAAGTGGTACCTTTACAATGACCGACATTCCTGTCAATACTGGGCTCTACACAATGACAGACATCCCTGTCCAGACTAGTCCCTACACAATGACACACATCTCTGTCCACGCTAGTACTTCCACAATGACAGACATTCCTGTCAATACTGGGCTCTACACAATGACAGACATTCCTGTCCATATTGGGCTTTCACAGTAACAGACATCCCTGTCCATACTGGTCCCTATACAATGACAGACATATCCTTTCCACGTTTGGCCTTACACAATGACAAATATTCCTGTCCATATTAGGCCCCTCTCAATGACAAACCTAGCTGTCCATACTGGTCCCTTCCCAATGACAGATATCCCTGTACATACTCGACTTTACACAATGACAAACATCCCTGTCCATACTGATCCCTACACAATGACAGACATATCTGTCTGTACTGGCCCTTTCTCAATGAAAGATATTCCTATCCATACTGACCTCTACACAATGCCAGACATCTCTGTCCATACTGGTCCCTTCTCACTGACATATCCTTGTCCGTACTCGGCTTTCCACAATAACAGACGTCCCTGTCCATAATGGCCTCTTCACAATGAAAGACATTCATGCCTTTGCTGTTCCCTACACAGTTACAGACATCCCTGTTCATACTGGCATCTACACAATGACAGACATACCTGTACAACACAACGACAGACATCCCTGTGCATACTGGCATATTCACAATGACAGAAATATCCTGTCCACGTTGAACGTCGCTGTCCACGTCGCTGTCCATAATCTCATCAATACAATGTCAGACATCCGTGTCCAAACTGGGCTCAACACAATGATAGACTTCACTACCCATGCAAAGGTCCTTCAAAATGACTGTCATCACTGTCCATACTGACATCTCGACAATGAAAGACACCCCAGTCCATACTAGGCCCTCAGTGACAGACTTTCCTGTCCATACTGACCTTTCAGGACGAAAAATATCTGTTATGACCCCTTGTAGCATGAGTGGAACTAGTCTACCCAGTAAGAGTTATTCTGCTTTCTGGACCAGAAATTAAGAGGTCAGAGGAAGAATATATATATTAAACGTCGGTGAATAATATAAGAATACAATCAGAGGATGAGCGTCTATTATAATTGATTTGGAGATGAGAAGTCGATACTTTGGCAATGTGACGTGATGCTAGCAGGACGTCATGACCTTACTTTAGTCACAGCAGTCGTCAGAGATGGTTTTACGTCGTTGATCTCCTGGAGGAGGAAGAATATAGTGCCCTGTGCAGCGGTGATGTGAAGGCTACTTGTTTGGAAGTGTGAGGAAACTGTTGGAGACCTAGTGCACCATTACTCTGGGATTTGGATATATTAGAGGCGGCCTGGAAGCGAGTTGGTCACCCCTTTGTGGAACTCTAATTGTATGCTCCCTCAAAAGGAAGGAAGCAGGCGTTTCTGCGTTAAGCCTGTCGGGCGACTCCGTGTACTCAAGTCAGGACTCGAGGAAGCCTTGTGAAGCAGTCCTATAGCAATTTTTGTGGGCTGCGTGCCAGGGAGTAAGTGCTCCACATCATACATTCCTGTAGTAAGCTTGTTTAATCAGTTGCTTGATTAGCTACCAGTATTTGATCGTGTACCCAGCGATCATAGTGAACATATGTGTAGTAGGGTAAAGATTTTATTGAGCCTAAAATAAGGAATTAAAGTTAAGCGAACTTGCTGGTGGGAGCAGTGATACGTCTGCTCTCGATGGAGGTCAAGGGGTGACTGTGGGGCATTGGTCCCCATCATCATGGCCGGGCAGAAGCTTCCAGTGGCGTGTCAAGACATGTTTCCAGTTTGGACTCGTCCAGGATGGGGGGAATACCCACCACAGTTGGATGGCGCGGTGCGGCGTCGGTGGCCGAAATATAATGCTGGGATTTAGGTTTATTACTTATGTTTTGTTAGGAATTTTTTTTATTGCCATGGTAATAGTATTGCAGGTTTGTCAGGGAAGAAGTTAATGGAGCATCTTCGAGGCTGGAGAAAAAGTTAATGGAGGAACTTCGAGGCTGGAGAAGAAGTGTATGCTGAAGTCTGAGGTAGAATGGAACTCTATAGTGAGGAGTTGAGCTTCGAGCAATGTAGGGGAGCTACACGTTTCTGTGTGGAACTAGTGGAGGAGTGCCACTGATGTTGGAGTAGGACTTCGTTGAGCAGCAGACTGGGAGAACTGCTGAAGTTTCTTTCCTGATGTTTGGAGGACCTAGATATATGCATTGATGATGAGGCTCTAGGAGCAGAACAGGGGATCTTTGTGGATACATTATTGTATAAGGGGAGTGGATATTGTATAATGTGGATACATTACTGTATAAGGGGAGTGTTTGAAGGCTTACTGACATGTAAGACACAATGTAAAGTCAGAGATTGGTTTCTTCTTTTGTTGGAGGAATAGATATGTAGATGTTCCAGGTATTTCAGCCCCAAGCAGTGAGGGTTAGTTGGTTATGAGCCAAGAGTTGTGCAGCCGCCTGATATGAATAGTTGGTGAAGGCTGCCGGGTTGTAACAGTTTAGAGTGTTGTATGTAATATTGTATATCATATGTCTTTTATTATGAATGGATTTATGTATTAAATGTTTTATATGTTAGCTGGCTTTCGCTCTTGTCCTGGTGAGGTTCCCAGAAAAGAGAGAGAGAGAGAGAGAGAGAGAGAGAGAGAGAGAGAGAGAGAGAGAGAGAGAGAGACAGAGACAGAGACACACGGCTGTGGATAGGGTGACATTAGACGCTAATTCACTAAAAGGGGATTTAGGAGACCATTTCAAACAAGTAGAAAGTGGGGAATCACGGAGGCTCAAGTAAGGTGTACACAAGACGTCGAGGCCAGTTTTAGAGCCGTACCCTTAAATAGGTGACACTGAACCCTTCTTCAAGATCAAGATGCGTACAGGGTGATCTCCTGGGTAAATTGCAAGCACTCCAATGTCCATTGCTGGTCGACCGACGGTAGCAGGAGTGTGGCTGCCGAGGTTAGCTGATTTTCTCTCTGGGAGTGGTTGGGGACGCTGTCCGCCTGTACGCAAGTAACAGTCTGGTGTAATAACCCGAGCTCCCTTTTGGGTTTAAATCCCCAACTAGCTCATATCTTTACGTATGAGACATCCCTGTTCATACTCGTCCCTACACAATGGCAGATTTCCTTGTCCATAATGGTCCCTAAACAATGACAGATTTCCTTGTCCATAATAGTCTTTACACAATGAAATATATCCCTCTTCATACTGGTACATACACAATAACAGATATTCAAGTTCATACTGCGCCCTACACAATGACAGACATCCCTGTGCATAATGGGCCCTTCACAGTGACTTACATTCCTGCGCATGATTGGCTCTACACATTGACAGACATACCTGTCCATGTTGGGCTCTTCACAATGACAGACATATCTGTCTATGCTGGGCTCTACACAATGACAGACATATCTGTCTATGCTGGGCTCTACACAATGACAGACATACCTGTCC